CCATTATGGTCAGAGAAGATGCTTGATATGATTTCAATTTTCTTAAACTTATTGAGACTTGTTTTGTGTACTAACACGTGGTCTATCCTGGAAAACTATTCAATGTGCACTTGAGAAGAATGAATTTTCTATTTCTTTGGAGTGAAATTAATTAAATTAATCTGATCTAGTATGTCTTTTATGGCCACTTTTTCCTTGTTGATTCTGTCTGGGAAATCTATCCATTGATGTCAATGGGGCATTAAAATCTCCTACTATGACTGTATTACTGTAAATCACTCCCATTATGTCCATCAAGATTTCATTTACACAATTAGGGGCTGCTATGTTGGGTGCATGAATGTTCATAAGGGCTATGTCCCCTTATTGGATTGCTCCTATTATTATGTAGTGTCGTTCTTTGTCTCTTACTATAGCCTTTGTTTTAAAGTCTACTTTGTCAGAAATACACATTGCTACCCGAGCTTTTGTTTTTCATTTCCATGTGCAATAGCCAAGGAATAATGTACATATGTAGGGTTGTACTTTGAGTACTATCTTACTCTACAAGTCACATTACACATAAAAAACAACACAAAATAGAAATTTAATGGTATGTTAGAATAAGGTTTTTGAAAATAATATAGACAGTGAAAACTACCTAACTAAAATTTTTCATGGTTAATACTTCTCCATTCTAGAAAGGAAATGTAATTTATTTAGCACCTTTCCAAAAATGCAAAATATAAAATGAAGTTAACAAAATGATACCATCTCAGTAGCTGGGTGCCTTTCTTCTCTCTATTGTTGCACCATTCTGCTGTATATTTATTAGAAATACTATCTATGATGCTTTGACAATCTGTACCCTTAATAGGAAAAACTACTTTATAAATGCCAGAACCCAAAATCTCCTTGACAAATTCAAACCTGGGTACAATTCAAAAACTGTTTAAGTAACATAAACATATTCCATGAGAAATTTCTTGAGCCATAGCTAGCTGAGAAATTCATAACTAACTTTTCTATATTTAAAAGTTAAGATATACACATAACACATGTTGCAGACAACTACTATCAGACCTATGGTGGACACTGATAAAAGAACAAATTTTTTTCCCAAACTCTAATTGTATCCTTCTAAATACAAAATCAACAGATCAGAGTTGACATATAATAGAAAAAAATACATCCCTGCTATAGATATGCTAAAGTAAATGTAAAAATGACTACATATCCACACTACAATTCATCCCGATTCTGACCAGGTAGCTCAGTTGGTTAGACATCATCCTAATACACCTAGATTGCAGGTTTGACACTGGTCAGGGCACATAAAAGAATCAACATCAATACCTGGCTGGTGTGGTTCAGTGGTGTCAACTTATAAACCAAGAGGTCTTTAGTTTGATTCACGGTTAAGGGATAGGCCCAGGATGCAGGCTCGATTTCTGGTGGGGGTGTACAAGAGGTAATTGGTAGTTTTCTCTCTCTCATCGATGTTTCTATCTATCCCTCTCCCTTCTTCTCTTTCTCTTAAAAAAAATCAATATGTAAAAACATATTAAGTAAAATAATCAACCAATGAATGCATAAATAAGTGGGGCAACAAATTGATGTTTCTCTCCCTTCTTCTCTCTCTAAAAATCAATAAAAAATACCTATAATTAATCCTTGTTATTAAAAAAAACTTATGTGGATATAAAAAATAAACCAACTTCCAAACTGTTTTCTCTCCTAATTACAGCCCAAGTAAATATGTAATTAAGAAACTGGCTGTGGATGGCATTGCTCATTGGTTAGAGCATTAGCCTTTGCACTAGAGAGTCATGGGTTCAAGTCTCAGTCAAAGGCATGTACCTGAGTTGCAGGTTCAATCTACAAACCCAGTTGAAGAGCATGAGGGAGGCAACAAATCGTTGTCTCTCTCACATCAATGTTTCTCTCATCCCACTTTTCTCTCTCCCCTCACCCTTCCACTCTCTCTGAAAATCAATGGAAAAAATATCCTTAGGTGAGGATCAAAAGAGAGAGAGAGAGAGAGAGAGAGAGAGAGAGAGAGAGAAAGAAACTGTCCCATACATAGAATTCAACCAGTAACACTTTTTTGTTAAATATATTTTTATTGATTTCAGAGAGGAAGAGAGAGAAACATCAATGATGAGAGAGAATTACTGACCGGCTGCCTCCCACATGCCCCCTATTGAGAATCGAGCCCACAACCCAGGCATGTGTCCTGATTGGGAGTCAAACCATGACATCCTGGTTCATAGGTTGACACTCAACCACTGAGCCACAATGGCTGGGCAGCCAATAACACGTTTAATAGTCAATTACTACCAAATCTTGGTATACCTCACTCTAGCTTTCTTGTTGACCTGAATTGCATTAACTAAATTCTCAATCAATGTTTTGGCATGGCCTCACTCCCTCTGAGAGCTCTAGGTGAGAACTTCCTTGCTTTTCTAACTTCTGTTGTAGGCTATCAATCCTTGGCATTTTTTATTTGTAGATGCATCTCCAGTCACATGATCATCCTCACTTTGTGTCTTCGGGTCATTTTCCCTCTATAAATGTGCCTCTCTGTCTAAATTTTCTCTCTTCATAAAGAGATTGAATTAGGGTCTGCCCTAATGCCCTCTTTTTAACTTGATTCCATTGTAAAGACCCTATTTCCAAGTAAAGTCACATTTGAAGATATTGGTGGTTAGGACTTCACTGTATCTTGCAGGGAAGGACACAATTCAACCTATAATATCATCTATTATCAAAAATTATTTTAAGGAACTACCAGATGACATCCCAATCAAGTCTTCTCTTCAATTGCTGAAATACAGACTTAAAAACTACCCAACCTACAAAATAACTTGATACTTGGTTATGAGAATAATTCATGTACAAATTTATAACAGTATTTTAAGTTGTTTAATGTTCTCCTTCATTTTTATTTAATAGTTTTCCTGGATATAGAAATTTTGGTTAAGT